CAGGGCCGCTCGCCGGCGCCCGCACCGCGGCTCTAGGTGGCCGCAGGCTGCGCGCGCGACTGACAACTCCAGAAACTTTCCCACCCCACTCGGCCCGGCCACAGGGTAGCCGAAGGCAAAGTCTGCACCACTGGGCTTTACAACGGGGGACTCTGTCCGCCCAGAAGCCAGTCAACCCACTTGCCAAGGCGGTTCTTCCTGTGACGGGGACCAACTGACTAAGGCACGCGACTCGTTGCTTATGCAAGTCTAGGCAGCGCCCTGCAGGGGTGACTGTGGTGCCCGGGAAACTTGGGAGCAACTCCCCAGGACCCCTCTCTTCGAAATGAGCTCTTCCAGCTGCACATGACTCTCTTCCCTCGATGCTAAAGAAAGCGTTTAGCAACAAAAGGTGCTCTGATGTCAGGCTCTTTGCATGGAAATGAGCCCCAGACAGGAGAACAAATCGCCTGTTGAAAGAGCAGCCGCGCCGCAGCCTCCGGCCTGCGCTCGTTTCCAGTCCCGCTCTTCATTGCCACATTGGGGGCCGCTGAAACTGCGGAAAGTTAATCTTTAAGCTACTACTGCCGAGAGAGTTCACAAGTAGTGTCGTTACCACCCACGCCTCTCCCCTCCTGAAGCCGTGCCGCCTAAGGAATTACGACCCTGCTTCTGTCAGCCCAGATTTTGCTGGAAAACATGCGTTGAAAGCTTGGGCTTGAGCCATTGTTTGTTTCATTTTTATCAGTGGGGACATCCTGGCTACTGAGCGTCCACAATGCCGAGCATCGCTGGGGGTTCCACTAATTAGAGCAAATGCTTTTTGGGTTTCGATGAATGGTCCCTTTACGTGAAGGCCGTAGGGAAGGGCTATTTTCAAAACGAAATGTAATTGTTGTAGCCATCAGCCAGTCCACACTAGGGGCCTTGTGTTTGTTTTTCCAAGGGAAGATCCTGGACGGGTTTATTTGATGACGGAAATAGCCCTGCAGAGGTGTTTCTTCTCCTGTGAGTCACTCTTTAAGAACCACTCGGAGAATTTTCCCCGCAAGATGACTATACATATCACATTTGGTTTTGTGATTGATCACTTTGTGAAAGACTTAGGAAACCCCATGGAATCTGTTGCTCTGTTAAAAGCCTGTGTGGTGCAAAGAACAAGGTGAGGTGCCCCGAGGAGAGAGGCCTTGCTAGATTTAGAGGCTTCTCCTGTTCTTTGTTTTTCTTTTTTTCCTTCCTGAGCCCACATAAAAGGAAGGGGATCAGAGGACTGTCCTACAAATTCCCTTTCTAACGCATTAATTAGGAGCTCTGATAGCATAGTGCCTAAGGCACTTGACTGCTAACCAGAAGGCTGATGGTTCAAACCCACCAGCCACTCCTGGGAAGGAAGGTTGGGCAATCTACTTCCCTAGTGATACTGCCTCGGAAACCCAAGGAGGGGTCGCTATGAGTCGGGTCTGACTCGACGGCACATAACAACAACAAAGTATTAATTGCTGAGAGCACCAGTCAAGGCAGTCATCTGAATAACCCTTACCGGAAAGTTCAATATTAAAGTTCTTTCTCAAAAGTACCGACCTTTATAGGCATAATCTCTGTTGATAACACTTTTGAAAGGGAAGGAATAACAATGAGAAAGTTCTCCCTGAGGAGTAGTGAGGCACTGGAATACTGGGCTGAGTCATAGAGCTCAGGCCAGGTGCTTTCTGCGACCAGGCAGGAGGTAGACCAGGAGGATTCCCAGGCTCCCTCATGTTGTATGAGGCTCTGGATTCCAATGAACACTTTTGGTTAAAGCAGTGGTGGTTGTTTGGTTACTGTCACATTTATAAAGATATTAAAATAAGTAAATGAGGATGTGATGAATTGAATTGTTTTCCCCAAAGAATATGTGTTGGAATCCTAACCCTTGTATCCGTGGATGTAATCCCATTTGGAAATAGACTTGTCTTTGTTACGTTAATGAGGTCAGCTCAGCTTGGGTTGCCTTAAACCTAATGACTTTTGAGATGTAAACAGAGTCAATTAGACCCAGGAAGAGTCAGCACAAATGGAGTAAAGATGTTGTTAGGTGACTTGACTTGACTTTCAACTCATATCGACGGCATGTGGCAGAGGAGACCTGCCCTGTAGGGTTTTCTGGACCAAAATCTTTATGGAAGCAGATCACCTGGTCTTTCTCTTGAGGAGATGCTGAGTGGGTTCGAACCACCAACCTTTCAGTTAGCAGTAGCTTAGCTTTTAATCATTGTGCCACCAGGGTTACTTGGGGTAAAGATAGATGCCACTCTTTACCTGACATATGCACATGTACAGAAACCATGAAAAACACAAACAATGTCATTGAATCGTAAATGCAGACGTTATTGTGTTGGTGAATGTTTTGGTGTGTATATTTTAATCAGAATTAAAAAGAAAAAGATGCCATGTGGAGACTGCCAGCAAAGGAGGCACACCAGGGTTACAGATGCTGAGACAGGTACGTTCCTTCAGAGCTGACAAAGACAGAACACCTTCTCCCACAGCCAGTGTCCTTAACTGGAATGTGTATCCTCCTGAACCGTGAAAGGGGCGCCCCGGTGGCACGGTGGTTAAGCACTCAACCGCTAAGTGAAAGGTTGGGAGTTCAAAGCTACCAGCCACTTCTCAGGAGAGAGATATGGCGGTCTGCTTCGGGAAAGACGGTGGCCCAGGAAACCTCAGGCGGCAGCTCTGCTCTGTCACGGGGTAGCTATGGGTCAGAATAGATTTGATGACAACAGGTGTGAATTGTAAGAAAATAAATTTCTATGTGTAAAAACCACCCACTGTGTTTTTGTTATAGCAGATTAGATAGCTAAGACAGGTGGGAAAAGGTAAAATGGCTTTTAGAGTCGATGTTATTGGCATGTTTAAGAATTTCTGTTTAACGAAGTAGGAGTTCTCATGCTCCCGGATCTCAAAACCTACTCTACAGCCATAGTAATTAAAACAGCATGGTATTGGTACAGTGATAGACAGATAGACCAATGGAACAGAATAGAAAACCCAGAAATAGACCCATCCATCTATGGACAGGAGCTCTGGTAGCATAGTGCCTAAGGCACTTGACCGCTAACCAGAAGGCTGGCAGTTCAAACTCACCAGCCACTCCTCAGAAGTAAGATGGGGCAATCTACTTCTGTAGTGATACCACCTCAGAAACCCAAGGAGGGGTTGCTATGAGTTGGGTCTGACTCGACGGCACATAACAACAACAACATCTATGGACAGCTGATATTTGACAAAGGACCAAAACCCATTAAATGGGGGAGAGATAGACTCTTTAACAAATGGTGCTGGCAAAATTGGATATCCACTTACAGAAAAATGAAACAAGACCCATACCTCACCCCATACACAAAAACAAACTCAGATTGGATCAAAGACTTAAATGTAAAACCCAAAACTATAAAGTTCATCAAAGATAAAATAGGCGCAAATCTAGGGGCCCTAATTTACAGCATAAATAGACTATCAAGCATAACCCAAAATGTACAGGAAGTGGAGGAAAAGCTAGATGACTGGGACCTTTTAAAAATTAAATTCTTATGCGCATTGAAAGACTTCTGCAAAAGGGTAAAAAGAGAGCCTATGGATTGGGAAAATATATTTGGCTATGACATATCCAACAAAGGACTTAGCTCCAAAATGTAAAGAAAACTTCAACACCTCAACACCAAAAAGACAAACAATCCAATTCAAAAATGGCAAGGGACATGAATAGACACTTCACTAAAGATGATATACTGGTGGCCAACAAACACATGAAATGCTCACAATCATCAGTCATTTAAAAAAAA